ATATATATATGCGCAATTCGATCTAAATACATGTACAGAAGGTATGCAGGTTTTACGGGGTCTTTTTTTCGAAATCGATCTGGCATTTTGAACATGGTAGTGCATGGTTTGTTTTTCTTCAACCTCCAAAACACAGCAAACTATCATCGCAACAAAGACCATTCTCTGCAAGTCCAATCCAATTTTTATTAAATGTAAAATAACAATCACGTGACAATATCATACATTCAGTTTCAGTACATCAGGGAAAGCCACAAAAGTTCCTATCTTTTATTTGGTTTAGAAATTTCCCAGACAAAAAGGACATCCTTGCACAAGTTGGAAAGATATTTTGACAGGTCACAGCAAAGACAGGTATAAAAGATTTGTGTAAAAAAGAACACACCTCATATTACGGCAAAAGGGGTCTAATGCCCCCTTTAATGCTTTAAACAGCTCTTTGGGGACTCGAACCTAGGTTGTCTGCACTCTAGCCAAAGACGTTATAATTTAATTAGAGCTCGAGACTATGACGTCTTTCACGTGAATAACGAGGGCTGAGAGAAAAGGGAAAGAACAACAGTGAGTACTTTTTGAGACTCACATGGAGACGTCTCGACATCTGAGAGGGAAATCTACAAGCTTGTACTGAAATGTGGAGGACAACAAGGTTTGTATAACACACAAAAGATCGTGGGGAAGAGGACTCAGATTGTTCATGTAAAAGGGGGTGCGCTGGCCATGTCAGTGAGGGCAAAAAGGCCCCCATGTCTGACACGCATGACGTCACTGTCTCGGGCTCTTTAGTATATATTATATAGCCTCTTTGATTCTAGCTCGGCATGATCCTGAGCTACCATTTGGGTCATAAGATAATAAGTCTCACACAGAAGTTCACTTAAAAACATTTGTAAAATGAATCAGACATTCAAGTTCATTATTTTCAATCAGCTTTATTCTAATCATTTGATGAGGACGAGTGGGGTTGGAAGGTGAAGGAATCCGACACAAGGTACTGTTACATTATACAGTGAGAGATGTATTTTTTTGACATGAAAATCTCTTACAAAACTAAAAAAATATAATATAGATCTAGGCTTACTTCATGACTCCACAAAACAATCACACTGGTTTACAGTATTTTCAGAGTTAACATACAGTTGAGCTGAAAGTCTAATTATGCAATAGAATGTGAAGATTCAAGTTCAAACACTGCTCTCCAATATGGAGTAAGTGATTCTTTAGAATTATCACAATTTCACTTTGGCATTGAAATGAAGTAGCCATCTTTGAAACCACATAAGTCCCACAATACCAGCAAACAAACGATTTGAGAGGATGCATTACATGTAACTGCATGTGGGGCAGCACGGTGAAATCAGGCGCACATCGAAATAATGGAATCGACGAAACTGACATTTTTTATTTTTAGGCCATTTATATCAGGGGGGGGGCAGGGCTAAACAAATTGTATGCCCATTTACAAACACGTTCCTGTGGTGTGGATTGTTTTTACTGAAAAACATTGATTTAAAAAACACAACAATAGTAAATTAGCAGTTTCCACTCCAGAGACACCACAGTTTTGAAAGTCATCAAACTTTGGTGGCCTTTTTCTCACCAATTTTACTTCAGTGAATAGATTACCCCTACCTCCTTCAATTACAAATACCTCCATTTCTGTTCAAGATAGATGGGGGGGGGTTTCTCTTCAAAGCAAGATAGACAAATCAGGCTTCAAGATGATCCAAATATTCGACTTTAATGCCCACTATTCCAGAGAAATGGGGGGGGGGGGTACCAAAAGCAAGACAAATGAACAAGCTTTAACACGATTCCAATAACTCCAAATGCCCCAAAATTGTCGAGCACCTGATTCCACCTCATCGTGACACTTATATCACTGAATGCATTAAGGCATTAAGAAGGAAAGAATAACAAGATTCTGTTTAACACAAAATCCTAAAAGCTATACTTTGTTAGATGATGATGTTCACAAGACAGTGTTCAACATTCTCTTTTTTGATAAAAAGATCAATTTCCACATGACCTAGTTCAAACTGAAAGACATGTGTCAAAAAAAGTAAAAGAAATATGGGTTTTTTCCCGCAAATCACTTTATTAATTCATTTCATGAATGTATTTTGATTTGTATTTGTAGTTTGAGTAAAGAGAAGCACATTGACACAATAGTGGTCATTTAGTGCTAGGAAAAAGTAAAACAGACAGACAGAAACTACAGGGGGAAAGTAAAGAAGTAGGACCTACCAGTGGCACCCTCCAACCACCCGCTATTTGTATGGGCGTTGTGAGTTTCTTGGCTCAGACAAACAGAGGTAAATGCACATGAAAATCTCAGAGGAAAAAAAATAAGACAGGATACGATATGAACATCCCTAATCACATATTCAGCATCAAAACCGCCGACCAAGTTAATCATTAAAGTATTTTAGAGACAAATGAGGATGAGACGGACAGAGAACACAAAGAAAAGACCATTTCATTCTTCCATGAAGAAAGAGTCAAAGAGAAATGGTCAAATAAAGGGAAGAGAGATGAAAGAATCCAAGGGGATACCAAGAGACAAATAATATAATATGACAAAATGAGAAGAGAGAGCAACAGAATAACAAAAGTGAGGCAACTTAGTGAGACAAATATGAGGAATGACAATTATTACAGAGAGGGACAAAAAAAAGGGGGTGGGGATGCGGGGGAGGCTTGAAAGATAAAATCAAGAGACAAAGAAATACAAATTAAGAAAGGAGTAAATATTACGGGAAGAGGAACACATCAACAGAATCAGAGGGAAAAAAAGTGAACTACTGCAATAAGAAAAAATAAATATGTGGGGGGACAAAAAAACAAGAAAAACTTTGTATGTGAACAACCAAACTGAAAAACATCTGATGTAGCAACAGGAAACTGAACCATTCTGTGATCTTTGTTGAAGCTTAACACCCTATATTATTACACTCAGGCGGGTAATTTCAAAGGCAGACCACACGGCACGGCCAAGTTACCAACACACGGTTGAACCTCTCTTACATAATAATCCCTTGCAAGCATACAATAAAAATGCTATCTTTGGTCTGCATCCTATCTTTTATGGGCTGAAATTTACTTCAAAAGCCTTCACAACATGAACCAAATGTTAAAACATCACTGTGATCATACAGTGGAACTTGGATTTAACGAGCTCGGATTCAACGAGAACTCGGATTCAACGAGATGAGATAGATTCCCCGTTTTTTTCTTCTTTAAAATCAATAAAAATAACCTGGATTCAACGAGCATTTAAATCAGCGAGCTCAGATTCAACGAGGTCGCTTCCAGGGTGAACAGCTCACGCAAACGTGGCTTTGCTCATTTTTCTCCCAGAACGAACTTTATCTATTTCCGGAAACCATCCATCGCAACTGCATTGAGAACCATTATTCATTTAACCGATTGCATGCAACCAATCAGCGGCCTTTTTTCATACCAACACATGCGTTATTGGCACGCGCACGTGTCGACACTGGCGTGTGTTGGGGTCGGATGGGCGGCCTGCACACGTATGACTGTGTGTGTGTGTGTCGCAGAAGTGGGGGGGGGGGGGGGGCACTAGCGGTGCGGGCTTTGAACGTCACAGTCACAGATACAAACGCGCCAGTCTTTTTTCCCCCTCGGCAACTGATCATTATTACAATGATAAGCCAGATCTAGTCCTGACATAGATCTACGTAATGAATTGTGCACTGGTCTATGAAATCAAAGGTTGCCGTTATGCTAGGAACACAACTTTTTGGTAAACAATCAAGATGACAGAGGTGTATGCACTTGAACGAATCGGGTCTTTTTTTTTTTTACACAGCTCATAATATGCAGGCATTTCAGGCACTATTTGTGACTTCTCTTTATACATTAATTTGCTCAGTGCCTGTAATTATCTACACAAAACCTCGTGTTTGCTATAACAAACACTCGGATTCAACGAGATTTTAGGTCAGGCCCGGCGACCTCGTTGAATCCGAGTTCCACTGTACAAACATGAAGTGAAAACAATATTGTGTCCACTTTTTAAAAAACCTGCTTTAAGCTTAATTCCTTTAATGGGCATCATTTTAACTTGGATTACACGATAGGGATGAAATAAATTCTACTTTAAAATTTTTGTGGACATCTTTGAAATACAAATCATTGACATCCAGTTTACACAGAGCTTCACATAATATTTTAATTTACTAGAAAGGCAAAATGTGACCCGATGATTTATGCGGAGTAACTCAAACGGTTGTTCTAAAATACACAAGAATTCTGAAGACATTCTGAGGATTAAGATATAGGTTTTTAATAAGCACTCTGAAGATATGTTTGAAAAAGGAAAAAAGCTGTTTTGAATCATTGCTCAAAATTTGTTAAATCTTAATTTTATGGAATAGTGTCTTCAAGAAGCCATAACAGACCATAAGGGCCATCCCCTCCCTCAGGTAAGTAAGAAAAGAAACCATCCCTCAAAAAAGTACCCACTCTGATGTTGGAAAGACAATTCTCATCCCTCCCCCCAGTAAGTCAACAAAAGGAGAATATGACGTACTTTTATTGTCCGTTGTGTGTGTTATTATTTTATACTGTCTATGAAATGGAGCTTTAACGGGAGAAGCGACCCTCGATTTGGCAGATTTTGGGTCAAGCTATGCCAATTGAGATATTGGCTATTGGCTTATTCTTGAAGGTTAACCAGTTGTCTGTCTATAAATAGCAAGGAGACAATTGAGAAAATCATTATTCATGTTGTAAATGCCTTTGAAAACAAGAGGGTGGGTCAAAATGTGGTGAATTTTAACAATTATTGTCGCTTTTCTCAGGACACATAGATGGCAAGGCTGCCACCAATGTACCACAGAGACATTTGTGAAAAAAAAAAAAAAAACTTTTCAATTGGCAAATGATTATGCAACCAAAATTTAGAAAAGCTCTAACTACATTAGGAAAATTCTCATAATTTTTTAAAAACACTTATTCAAAAATACTCTCTTGTAAATTGACAGAGACTGGTTCAGGCATACTCTCACCAAATTTGGTCAAATTTAATCAGTAAATAAGGAAGCCTTAGGGATTTGACATGTATTGTTTATTTTCAAGATGGCAGCTGTTTCCAAGCAACTTTTGTAGCTATGCAAAAATAAAAGTAAGTATCAAAAGAATTTTCTATGCCTAACTTGAAAGTGTACTTAGATTTAATCTGGGGAAACAAACTTAGAGAACGGACCTTGAGGGCAGCTCTTCCTGTTAAAGAAACAATTGAGCAAACATTGTACAAAAGATCAATGTTGCTGAAATTACAGGAGTCCTCAACACAACAGAACTCTTTATGATGTCCACATACCTGAGAAGTTGACAAATGTAGTGTAGTACCAGCGTTAAAAACAATTGTAAAAAATCATCGATCATCATATTTTCAATGAAATAAAAAAATTGTAGATAATACGCCCTAAGCCACATAATTTGGATCATTTAGGGGGCAGGCTGCTTTGAACCTGCCTGTCAGGGTAGACTGGGGCTGAGAGGGGTACGGGACACATCATCCCAGCAGAAAGACAGAGATATCCAATAAAAAATTACCCCATTTGGATATTGAACTTACATCTTGTGCATATGATGCCCAAGCGCCCTGATCAGTACACACAAAAAAGACAGCTTTATGCTTCTGTCTGCACAATTTAATTCATTTATGAAGCTAATCCACTTAATCCATGTCATCCAAGCTATTGTTTGTCAGTGGCTCACAGACATGTTATATATCATTATAAAAACAAGCAAACGAAGAAAAAAATCTATACAGCTGTGGTGTAGAGCACAGTGAGAAAAGCCTGGCCTGGACAGAGAGAGTTAACAACCATGTCCAAGCCTTCCAAAATCGGCATACAGAATTAGAATTGCCACAAGTATTATATCAAAGTCAGTTGAACAGTCAGTCATCCCCAAACCAAGGGTTGTAGCATCAGAGATCAGAAATCTGCTTTATATTGCAGAACGCTGTGTTGTACAATATTAGCACATCATTCGGTTGTGGAGAAAAAGTATTGTCACTCTTATATCAGGAATTCTCGACCCGATAAACCCTGAGTAAGAAAACTAATATGGGGCCAAATATCGAAAATGCTTCACACAATCTTCACACATTCTACTTTCAATTTTTTTTCAGGCTTATCTGTTGATGTGCAATAAGCCGAGCTTACTTCTTTCAAATTCAGTTTTTCAAAGGCAGCTGCTTTGGGAAAAGAAAAAGAAAATCATTAACCCTTAAAACCCTGAATTCTTTTTTTTCATGCCTCCCTAGAATCCTGAATTAAAATTGAGATACTAGAAAAAATTAGGTTGGTTCATTATTTTGTTTACTGTGTCTTTAATTGTTGTTCGATTTTACTGAAGTTTGAAAATGTTCTTTATATAATATATGAATGCACAGTCTGAACAAAAGGGGAAAAGGTTAAAACACTGGTTTTTATGACCAACTCTATGAGTTAAGTCTTGTGTGTGATCCCCAACACAATTTCAGTCAAAGTATCATTAGACCCAGCCGTAGATCTAGCCTCTGGTAGCTCTAGTGGTGATCCCCTGCCAATTCCACTATCGTCATAATCATCATCGATGTTATGCGGAACATTGCAATCGTCTTCAACGGTCATATTTATCTATATATCCGACTGGGAGATCATTATTGGGGTCTGGTTAGGATAAAAAATGTCAAAAATTTTGCGGCCTGAAGGGCCAGGCAGCGAAAAGTGACTAATTTTTCTTAATAACTCGCAAAATTTCCAAACTTTCGGGGTAGAACTGCTCTCATGACATTATCGGTACTTTCTGCTCGCGACAGAGTCATCTGGAGTTATATCCCCTGTTTCTAGCATTGGGAATTAAACAATAGTCGACCAGTGGTTACCAGCGGTTACCAGCGGTATAGGAAAATAGGGCGTCAGCTGTTACCAGCGGTATAGGGTTTTAAGGGTTAATGAAACAAATATCATCACAATGAAAATATATTAAATTTACAATAAATCTATACATCCGTTGAGCTGCTCAAAATTACCCTAAGAAATCTACAACTTCTTCAAGTTCCCTTTGTTTGGCTTGCTTGTGGGCCCATCTATTCTCCATTACTTCTGCCGAGATTTTCCATTTCTCATGAAAGATTTGTTTTCCACAACCCGGGCACAGTTTTCCTCCTGGACAAAAGCGAAGAGAAAAATATGAGGTATGGTTAGATATGGTAAAACTGTGTATTTCAAAATTTGTGTTTTAGTTCTGGTAAGAGTTTTACGGCACTCGCAACTGCATAAGGTCGTAAGAGCACGTAATCAACATTTGTGACCAATGTATGTAATGGAATCCATTAAAATAATTAAAATAATAGTAAATATACACAAAGTATAACTTCCATGCAATCTAAACTACAGCTTCAATTTCGCTTACGAGCTAAAGAAGACTACTAAAGGTACCTTAAGGGGCCACAAACTACTTGAGAATAAACATTTCAATTTTCAAGGAATGAACTAGGTTCTAAATATAAACTGATTTCTTGACACAATCATAACAAGGAAAATGAAATTTTCCAATCACATAAAGAGGCACAAAAGTTTTTAAAAATAAAAGGACACCTTTGAAGGAAAATTTTTGGGAAAACATGACGACAAGTGATGCCTAAAAAGAAAATGAAGTCATCTTCTTTATAATTTAAAAAAAGGGGTCACTGAGGCTGGACGTACAGTGTTTGAAAGAGCCATTTCCAAAGGGATTCTTACTAAGGTCATGCTAGGAAAGGGGCACAGCTATCAAGGAAGGAAAGCTTCTGTCCCAGTGACATTCTAGAATAACACTGAAATAAACAAAAAGAGACCCTACCCTTTTTTACATAAACACAAAAGTCTGCACCCTGCAAGTTCCTTTAGGCAAATTCAACAGAATATAATGGAAATGACAGAGTTTTCTTGTTGGGTCTCAGATTGGCATTGCTAAATTGAACTGTTCCCGTCCTAGTCCCATACCCATATATTTTCATGACAGATAATGAAACAACAAAGCAATTGCTTATTTCTTTTGAGGTTCAAAATCTGAGGGAAGACAAATCTACAATATTTGAGAGCCAATAAAGGAAAATACAGTGGAAACCTGATATAACAGGGATGGTGGGAGTAAAGAAAATGTCCTGTTATATCCGATCCCTGTTAAAGCAGAAATGCAAGGAAAGTAAGCATTTATGGACTAATCCAGCTGTACTTATTCATGGGTAGTTTCCCTTGCCACAAGTACCCACGAACAGAGGTTTTGGCACCAACTTTCTCTTTGCCTCCTTAAACCATATCAGAAGAGCTTGGTCCACAACATCTGTATCGGGTAGTCTCATCTTCTTTCCATCCAGAGCAAACTTTCCATTGGAGTACGCTGCCACTTTTTTCTCTCTATCCTTGATAATGGTGTGAATCGACCCTTGTGGAAAGTCGAACTGACGACAAATCTCTGCCAGTGGAGCTTGCTTTTTGTCAACAGCCTGGATTATTTCGTATCTTTTGTCAATTGAAAGGCATTTTATCTTGCGCTTGACATCGTTGTTGACACATTACGCGTGCGTGTTGCTAGGTTTCTGGCTAGATCGAGGTCTGCAGCACACCGCAGCCCTCTCTCGCTTCACATGCTGCATGTGCTTGCAGTGGCATGGCTTGCGTGGGCTTGCTCCATCACTGCATTACTTTCTCTCTCTCTCTCTCTCTCTCTCTCTCTCTTTTCACATTGTTAACGAGTCTTTGTCCCTGCTATAACCGGTTGGGCTCCGATGAGGCCCTGTTATTGCCGATAACTTTACATAGAAACAAAGAGTAAGAAAAAACGGGGATTTAAAAAATCCCTGTTCTTACCAGATCCCTGTTATTACCGGACCTGTTATATATGGTTTCCACTGTAATAACAATTACCATTCTGATTCCTACCAAGTTGGTGTAAGTAAATGCATGTTTCTTGAAACACAGAGCCTTCAAAAACTCACAAGCAATATGCGATTAAGTCAAAACTATGGTACAAGAGTACCTAAGAATATTTTTCTTACAGCATAAGTTATACCTTGTGGCTGTTATTTACTCCTTCTCCTGATCAAGGAAGGTAACACAGCAGCTACAATATCTTGTTATTTCCACAATCTTTTTTTGTTATGACCTCAGAATAAAGGCTGGGGTATACTACTGACAATATGTACTGACCTGTAAATGGTGGCGTTTTCATATGCCTGTTTAGACATATAAAGTGGAACAAGTGGCCGCAATACACTTTCTCCACTCTATTCTTGCCTCTTGAAGCACTCTCATTCTGTCCATTGATTGATAGATGGAGAAAACAGACAAAAATGAATGTTTATGAAACCACAAAATAAAAACCAGTACACTTTGAAATATATATCTAATATTGAAACTGAACCAACCAAAGCTGAAGAAAATTTTTCTGATTAGCATGGGTCTACTTTCATAATATTTTATGACCTGTCCTTTTCAAAAGACAGAAGGGGGGACAAAACCAATCCCTTGGTTGGGATCAAAAGTATGGCAAGGAGTCTCTTTCTGAGATTATAAGCCTACATTAAATAGATATTATAGCCAGTTAGTGAAAGCCAATATGTTGGGAACTATAGAGGCAATAACTGGTAGAAATTTTTTCCCAGCAAAACTAAACCAAACTTCAAATTTTTTTTTGCACTTTGCTCCAAATAATTATTATAAATCCTACAGAGAAAGACAAATTACGAAGCCTTAACTCTTTAGAGAGGACAAAAAATAATGGGACATTTTTACTATTTGCTCAAATGTGTTGTCTATTCCACATGCATTGACATATATAAAAAGAGCCCATTTTTATTGGGAACTCGAAAACCATCTCTACTTGACCATGGGACACAAAGAGTCAGCTGTACCATCTACAAAGGGTGCTATTTGCCCTATTGTTGGCGGCTTCTTAAAACAGTTATATGTCATTATCTCTCTGACAGAGAGGGTAACATCTCACTATCTCATCTGTCCAGCAACTCTTTTGCTCTGACCTCTCGACTGAGAGTCTGGTCTATCAAGACTTAGTATATGAATGGTCTTTTATAAAAGGTAAGTGTAAGTGTAAAGCCTATATCCCTGCTAAATGCCAAGTATCTAAAAGCATTTTAGACGACTGGTGAACAAAGGCTAAACACCTTCTCTACATAGCACAACATAGAATCAAACCCATTAAGTTTAAGATCATTCAAAATTGAGCCTTTTGACTCTGTGTTCACAAAATGCATCCAGAGCAAGTACAGGCATGAACTATTTCATTTTGCTTTTCTCAGTGTTGCTATATTTGATTTATCAAGAAAAGTACATCAATACCATGTTGGCCTATGGTTATTAAGTGCTGTAAAAGGCAGAAAAGTTTGTTCAGAGACAATGGTAAGGAACACCTTTCAGTGGCACTCTCCAACCAAAGACACAAGCATTGTATCAAATCCATAAATAAAGGTTTAAAGTACCGGTAAGTGAAACTTACAGAGGGGTCAACTGGCAACACTCGTTCATTGCATAGTGGACAGATTTCTAGTGGAAACTTCTTAACACAGTCTCTGATGATATATTCACACACCGGCTGAAGTGATGGTTTCGGCACAAATGGTGGATCCCTAAAGGCACACAAAGCATTTCAACATTACCACCAGCGTGTTCTCGGTGACGCCCATTAGGTAAGCCTACATAAGCCACAAAATACATATAAAAAAATAGATGGACTGCCCCCCCCCAAAAAAAAAACAACAACAAACACATACATCTACAATCTTCATACTGCAAAATATTTTGAAATTCAGAACTAAAAAACACATGTTTTTTTTAAGAATGAGCAGGTAAGAATAAACAAAGTTTTTGTCTGCCAGTTTATGCTCAGGTCAATAAACCATGTAGTCTATATTATTAAGAAAATATAAGCTATGCATACAATTGTGACAAACAAACAGTACTCCTAGAAGGCTCTACCCCTGTATAGTTCATTTTATGTCACATGCAATAACAACTTTAAAACCATAAAATAACATTTGAGTTGAAGAATTCCTTAGAATTTTTCCTTCACTTACTTGGGGTTCTTTTTCAGAGGTGGATGAACACATTGTCTCGCAATTTCAACTGCCTGTGCTTGAAAGTTGACACGCAGAAATTCTGGGAAATTGTGTTCTGTAATTTCTGGTCTGAAATCATCGATAAATAAGAAGTAAAAAATCTGGATACTCTTATATACGTTTTGCTAATAAGGAGAGGAAATTCACAAAATATATTTTAAAAATTGTAGTGGATAGTGAACACTTGGCCTTTGTTTCACCCTGTGCATAAACAGGTAGAGTGAATTGACAAAAAACTTTCAACACAAAACTGAATCCAATTAGAGTTCCAATTAGATGTGGCTACGCAAAAAAGTTGAATCTCCCCCCCCCCCCTTGGATGAAAATTTCTACCCTTACTCTCCAAACACTGTGGGAACCTGGGGGATGAAGCCTGTGGTGACTTCTTAGAACTCTTTCTTTTATTTTGCTCTTCCAGGTGTACCCAAAGTTATACCATGTACATATAACTGCCTGCACAGAAGGCAACATCAGACACCTTCTTTTGAAACTCAGCCAACAGGTTAGTTGGAAAGTGCAATTGAGTATGTGCCTGAAGCACAATGTATTCCTTTTTTAAGTGGCTCAAAGATGATGAACTTTCAAAAAGCAAAAGGAAAGGCAACTTCATTGCTCCCCATTGGGAGAGTTATTTCACTAAAAAATGCATTGTAATCAAATTATTACCTAACAAAGTCAAACAGTAGTATATCATTGCTAATCACAGGGGTGTAACACCCTGTATTGGTTCACTTGTCTAGCTCTATTAAGGCACCGTCCTAGTGATCATTTATCTTAATGTAACCACAGTATGATATTCTTCTTGAGCCTGGATTTGGATTTACTGACTGTTCAAAACTTCCCACCCCATCGCCTTGAAAACGTACAAATAATATATTGGTTTAAACTAGATACTCACACAACTTGTTTGGCGGGATAGTCATCCGGAACAGAAATACGTAGACCAACAAAGTATTGCTCCTGACATACTTTTAAGACAATTTGAGACGTCTTCTGTTTCAGTTTGACATCATCCGAGTCATTCAGCAATTTCTTCACGGCAGAAATTTCATCAGAACAGACGCACAGAGGGTTCTCTTCTATGAAAGTCTTCACATACCGGATAATGTGAACAGTCTGTGGAATATAATCAGAAAGTGTATTTTTAATTGTTTTCAAAACCAGAAAACAACCACAAAGAAAAAATCCTCCATTTCTTTTTCACCAAGCCTCTCCCTGTATCTTATTTATTTAGCTATCTTGCGCACAAACTTACGTACACCCAAACATTTCTCTTTATCTCTCTCCATCTGTCTGTCCCCATGGTTTTATGCACCCCTCATAATTTAGCAAAATTTGATAATTTTTTTTGATAATTTCTGATTATTTTCCTTTATCATTCTTTGTTAAAAATTAACAGAATCGCATAATTTCACATTTTTGGTCTCAGTTTACATGATTTCTGAATTTTTCTTGCATAAAACGACGGGGACGGATCTGTCTGTCAGTCTGTCAGGCTATCTG